TCTGTCTCTCTCTCCCCACCTCCCTCTCATTTATTTATTTTTATGTTTTGCATCCTCACACACCCTTGAACATAGATTCTCAGCATTTGGGGGGGTATGTTTCTGAAAGTACACAGGCCCTATAATTTTATTAGGTTCTTTCCCAAGTGTTATATGATTTTTGTTATTGTAAAGGGGATTCTTTGTTATTTTACTTTTTAGTTTTTATTTACTACTGCTGGTGTGTAGAAAAGCAGTGAATGTTTGTGGCGGCTCTATTTGGATGCCATACTGAGCTCTCTTATTAGTTCTATTATTTTTTCAGCTGGTTGCCTGTGTTTTCCAGCTAGATAATTATATATTTTTTGTAAATAATAGTTTTGCCTCGGCCTTTTGTTACATGTTTGCTGTTGGCTTTCGATTTAAATGACGGGGATACTTCGTTTCTTACAGGTTTAGCCCGCATCCTCTGTAACTCTGTGCACCTGTTGCTTTCCTGGGTTGAGGGGTGTTGGTATTGAGTCGTGTTTCAGTTTACTTTTATGATGAGGTTTGTTTGTTTTTAAGTCGGTTTTAGTAATTTATGTTTTTCATAAAATCCATTTTATTTTGAACGTTATTGTTATAAACGTGTGCTTGATATTTTCTTATTTTATATAAAACATACTCTCCTCGCCTGTGAATCATGCTATTCAGACTTCCAGTTTTGTTTGCTTTGCTTTTTCAAACCCCCCTTGCTCAGACTGTTTGTAAACATAAGATATTTGAAAATTTTTAATAAATAACATGATCACATTAAAATTTTAAATATACATGTATGTACACCATAAATATCTCCCCCTCCTCCGGCCCCCTGTCCCTCAGTTCTTACTCCTCCCCAAACCCCCAAGTAGGTAACCCACTGCTCATGTTTCCTGGGGTATCTCCTAGAGCTGCTTTATGTATAAAGTAAAAGTGAATATATATCATTTTTCTTCCCTTTTTCACAGAAGCTAGCATGTGGGCTCTGTTGAACATACAGAGTTTCTCTTTCATTTGTATAGCTGCAACTTCTCCACTGTATGGATGTATCAAGTTTATATGTAACCTGTCCCCCAGTGATTACGTTTGTTTCCACACATGTAATTTAAACCCTGATATTGTTTCACTGTGTCTATAGACCAAATCCTTAGGTACCAGATGAAGGGAACTCCACTTGTTTTTTCGCTAAAAGTTGCCACATTGCCCTCCACAGAGGTTACAGGGTTTATACTCACCTAGTAAAATAAAAGCGAGCTCATTTTCCCCAGGGAACTTGTATCCAGTGTGTATCAAAATCAAACACATTTTTCCTAATCCACCCTTAAGTTTTTAAAAAATGCAATGTGCTGGAGTCAAGTTTGTTGAGATATAATTTACATGCGGTACATTCAGCCTTTATACAGTACAGTGTAATTTGAATTTGCATGTCTTTTATTATAAGCATGATGTTATTTTTACAAACACAAAAGAGAAATTTAAAAACCCCAAAATGTAATGAATAAAACTTCTAAATAAGACTAGTCAATTTACACATTCTTATTTCTTTCTACCTCAGCGTATTTCATCCTTGGGCAAATTCAAAGCACATTGAGCAATACAAAAAACTTTTTTATTGATGTGTTCTTGACAGTTTTGGAGAAGCACAGTAAGACAAATGGATTGTCAGGATAGAAAAGCTTAACTGGGAAGATGCAGTTATTGAATAATTGAAGGGAAGAGGAAATGCATTACCAATTAGCCACAAAAATGCATGACGCCTAATCCAAGCCTCAAAAGACTCGTGTAAATGGGGAGTCAGAAAACTGTTGCAGCCCAAGTTCTTATCAGCCTTCAAACCTGCCACTGCCTTGTTCATAGGTTGCAGCACTGGCATTGATGGATTGATGATAGCTTTCAGAGTTCGCTGAAGGGCCGTGTTCCAGCAACCCTTTGCAGCGTTCCTAACCCTTTGCACTGCCTGGTTGCACTTAAATATTTTAACCAAATCCTGGATTTATTATTACCTGCTTTGTTTTAGGGTTTTGGCTGCCTAGGGGGCAGCATTGTGTCAATCAGAGAAAAGGCACATAGTGGTGTCTGAGTTAGGACTAGAACTCCGCCGTCTGGCTTTGTGAAACAGCCAAGTAACCTCCATCCAGCAAGTTTCTTACCTTTGCTGGGCTTCTCCCCCATCTAGTCTGAGAGGGTTGAATAACATCCTTGCTATGCACTGAACAGTCCAAGCATCAGCGTCACCTTGGAAAGGTAGGCTCTGGATCCCCACTCACCCCCAGTGCTGCTGAATTCCAGTCTGCATTTAATCCGAACTTCAGGTGATTCGAATGCACATGAAAGTTTGCAGAGTGCTGGGTTGGGGTCCCAGATCCCCGCCTTCTTCCAGGATTCTGTGCTTCTGGGCTCCCCCAGTCATTCATCGCAGACTGTTACATACAGTTGTGTAGGGTTCACTAGAGAAGCTTTGGTCTTGCCTGTGTACCTCATTGATCATCAATGGTGGTGACATCTCCACCATCTTGGCCCCACTCCCCTGACTCTAGCTGTGTTTAGGTTGGTCCTGAGACAGTGGGACCTCAGGGAGACACGAGAGCAACTCCCTTTGCCTTTATGGAGCCTCAGGAAGCGAGCCAAAGCCTGCACCGAGCCTCCTGCGGCTTGGCTGTGTTGTCCAGGTTCTAGAGGCTCATCAGATCAAGGACAAGGAGATAAATACAGTCAAGCTAGGTGGATAAGGTGCTTATCTGTGGACTTCTATTGTGCTTCTATTGTGCTTCAGCGTAAGTAAATTTCAGTGATAACCTCTCAGTGGTGCCCCTCAGAAAGGAAACTTCCTTTTATGCCAGAGAGAAACTTGGTCTGGACATTGATTTTTGGAGGCAGGTCATGAATTTGAATTTACACATAACGAGGTAGAAAATATTGGTGTACTTTTTCTTCACCATCCCTGTCTGGAAAACAAAGCAATACAGAAGGACAGGAGTGTATTCCATTCTGTATGTTTGCCATACTTGTAACAGATAATCCTCAGTCAGCCATCAGAGCGGGAAGAACCCCTGTCTATACACACAGAACTGACTTCTCATCCAGGAAGTTCTCTTTTTGGGTGCTGTGAGGACTTCTGGGGTGTCAGTGCCACCTAACTAACCAGCCTTCAGTCTTCAAAGCCTGTGGTTTTCAGTGAATTCATTTAATTGCTTGTTATGGAAAATCTGGTGAAAATGGTAGAAACAGCAATGAAAAAGGAGCAGAGCCAGCGTCCCTTGATCTGGATGTCTGCAGATAAAGGGTCTTCCTTTGAGATGTAACTCTTCTTGTGGCTGAAGGGGTTCTGTGTCCGCATCACGAATTTGATGTGCTCTCTCAGCCTTAAGACTTTGGGAATTTGTAAAATGTCAGCTTACCATAAGCAAAGATCTTCCTAGGAGGGTTCTGAAGACAGCACTGGGGAGAAATAGGTGTCAGTGGGCCATCAGAAGTCTAGAGTGACTTTCACCAGAGCCATTGGGTGCTTTCTCCTTTCCTACCTGAACCAGGTGAAGAGGGGCTTTCTTGGCATCCTGTTGGTGTAATTGTTCCAGGCTGGTCTGTGGGACTTGATCCAAGTCCACATCGGCCCCAAATATGCTTTGTTTGTCAACCCACTGTTTGTTTCTGCTTTTGTGCATGTTACGTGTTTGATCTGTTTTACCAAAAGAACATTGAAAAAAATGGATTGCTTTGATGCAGATTCCAGGGAAGAGAAAAAACACAAGTGTGTACACCCAAGAGAACATGAAGAGGAATTAACAGGACCAGTGAGAATACCATGTATTTTTCACGCTTGATAACAGTGAGATTAGTAGAGAAAATTCATGCCCAAAGTGGTTCATTTAGGAATACCTGAAACATACCCTCATTTCAGAGAGTGTGGTGGTCTCTCTTCTTCCTGTTTCTAACCTGTGTAGTAATAAGAGAAAAGGATGGATTTTTTTTTTAGCACAAAAATGTGGGAAAGGTAATTCCCCCCCAGATGTGTACAAAGTACTTCCTCCTAAATAGGGCCACGTCTTTAGATCTAAGGCTGTGTTTATCTTTCATGATTCTGTTCGAGGATTTTCTTTTCTTTTTTTTTTTTTTTTTTTTTTTTGAAGTACAGTCAGCTACAGTGTGTCAGTTTCTGGTTGGAGGATTTTATAGTTTGACTTACGGGATAATCAGGTAACGCCCCTACTAAACGTCGCATGGATCCTTTGCCCTGTGGAGGGAAGCACATCTTTTAAATTCGTATAAGAGCATCTACTGTCTACATTTCTTCAGTTTCTGTAGGATTTCATTTACATTTCACATCCGGGCTTGGTCTCAAGGTCCAGAGTCACACTCCTTGTCCTCACTTGGCTAAGGACTCCTCCAGTGGTCCAGGGGGAATCCTTTAAAAGACTGAGCATGTGTAGTTGACAGTGAACTTGATCTACATTCGCGTTTGCCCCTTTGATCTCCAGTGCCAGGATCATCGGTGAGCTGCAGGAGGCCTGACGTTTGACCGGAAGTTTAGCCCTTGCTAGAGAGAAAATTGTTTCTCCAGATGTCAGACACACCTCATCAGTCCAGATGGAAAGAGGCGAGCAGGCAACGCCAAGAAGAAACGTCAGTGTGGCTAAATGAAAGGAAAACGCTTCTCTTTTGCAGAACTCTGTTTGTTTTAAAATGAGAAAATCAACTTGTTGCCTGTTGCTTCTGAATTTTGCTGCAGAAAAGGCTTTGTTGAGATTAAGGGAAACAGTCGTTTTCAGACTCTGGTGGCCTGAGCTGCTTTCTGGAACGCAGCCTCCTCTGGCTGGTCACCCCCCAGGGCACGGCTGCTCCCCGGCTCCCACTGGCCCCGTCCCAGCGGTCAAGGCAGGCCGGGAGGCCGGGACCTGGGACTGGGCCACGCCACGTCATTGGGAACAGGTGACTCGGGCCCGGACTTTGCTTTCCACTCACGTGTCCTCGCCTGTGGTTTTGTCTCTGCTCTCCCCACACAGATCCGGAGCTCGGGGTCGGCCCACTCCCAGAACACGACAGCCATGATGCGGGGCCCATTGTCCCCAAGATATCGGGTCTAGAGAGGAGCCAGGAGAAGAGCCAGGACTGTGGCAAAGAGCCCATCTTGAGCCCGTGGTGCTTAAAGACCCCTGTCCTCG